AAAAATTTCTCAGGGGAGAATGCCTCAGACCCCTCCCCAGGTGCGGAGTGCCTCCGACGTTTTATGACTGATGTTTGAAAAATTCTAGATCAGCCCCTGTTACGATGCATAAAAACAACGACAATCAATCATCGTTGGTTTGTGCGTTTGTTTTTGGTATCTCGTGAATATCATTTAGTATACAAAGAACACATACAGTTTACAGTATTTTGATTACATATGACTTGGCTTTGATTGTTTAATATGTGCATAATTACTTGTTTTAAAGAAAAACTACCTGTTTTTGTTTTCCCCTTAGAAAATAAAACTCTTACAATGAGAGTTGAGTGAATTAATTTGTTGTTTATGCTAGCCACCATACTTCCAATATAGTAGTTGATAGTGGGATCTCGTCGGATTCGTATCAAAAACAATTGCCAAAGATAAAATTCTAGTTATAATTTGATGATATCTTGAGCGTAGAGACAAATCGTCACTGTTAATAAATAATAATTTCCTACAAATTGGCTATAATTAGACTTAAATGTTGGACAGTTCTTTTTTTTAACACGAGTCCGTTTCCCGCCAGGCAAGTCTCTCACTATCAGGTGACTGGCTTCAAGAAATGTATTTTTGGACTTTGCTGTTTTTCTCTCTTCTGGTGTCAGTCATTCGACCCATATGATCGACATAAACTCCATTTCTAGCACTTGCACATCCACAGTAATCTTATACCTTTATGTAAATATCCTAATATCGTTTTGCATATTCTTTCTTGTAACTGGTTATCTGTAACTAGTCTGCAAATGTGTCGAGTCAAAACAAAGCGTCACATTAATTAAATATATTATAATTAAACCAATGATGAATTTTTGAAAATAATCTGTTTGGCTCTAATTTTTATATTAAGAAAAATTAGATAAGGAATAATGCTAACGTCTGAAACTTACATCGCACAATTAAATTAGTGGGATGACTGCAACGGCTAACACCACAAGACTTTCCAAGGGCGGATCTAGGATTTTCTAAACATCAGTCATAAACTTTCAGAGGCGCTCCGCACTTCGGGGTCCGAAGCAATCTCCCTGTGAAATTTTGAATGTCAGAGCCTTAAAAATGCCATTTTCAGCGTTTTACAGCAATACAAAATGTACTTTGTGGGCAACGTTTTGCGTAAATACAACCATTTTCCTTACGTTTTTTTCAAAAAAAAAACTGAAGTGAAAAATACTTGAATGTTTTGCCAAATATTTAGGCTCATTAACATGACAAATATATGGCTCATTGGCATGTCGAGAAACATAAAATTTATTTTACAATAATGCTATTAGGAAAAAGATATTGTCTTTAAAAATTTCTATAAAGATGTCAGGCATAGACCCTCCTAGAGTCCATAATTCAAACCTCTATGTAATGAGTTAAGTTAAAAATTTAGTACTACAAGAGACAGTTCATAGATGTAGACAGCTAAAATTTTAAATCACAAATGAACAGAGCGATTTTTCTAACAGCTATGAAAATTGATGTGAATGATGGCTTAAATTCGTGTCATCACATTATTAACACAGAATAACCGAATAAAAGAATATTTGATTATTTCTTTTCATAGAAGTTTCTTTTTAAGTGCTACTGAAGTGAAGTTTTCATATTAAGTTTTTCGATACAAATGTTTTCTCTGTATTTTACTGATCATTTTTAGCTATCGCCCACTGAATTTAGTCGAGGGGAACGCATCGAACTTTGCGTTCAAACATGGCATATTTGCTTGTTTTGATGCGAATTTGACTTTGATTGCGTGACGTCATTTAAAGGACGGAAGTTCAATTTTAAAGCTCTTAGTATATAAAAATAATAGACAAACAAGCATATTTCCAACTGGAATTTTACATATTTTATAACTTCTCTTCGCAAAAATTGCGTATATTTAGTGACAAATGAGCAACACGCATAGGTAAGCAACATTTACAATCGATTACAGTTTTATAAACTTCTTGAATTAACTTATATTTCTCAATAAACTAGGTGCCGCATCCTTGACGAAGTCTGCGGTTTTAACACACACGCAATGTTATCAGAAACTAACTGTAACGCGCTTATTTCCAATCATCCAATGTATACTAATTTTATAAACTTCTGGATTAGACTTATCATTCTTATCATATGGGTGTCGCATCCTTGACGTAGTCTGTGGTTTTAAAACCCATGCAATATTATCACAACGCACATAATATAAGGAGAATAAATTTTTATTAAGTTAGTCAAACGTAACGATACACCGTAAGTTAAAATATTTCGAGTAGGCAAAATTCTGCAAAAAATAGTCGAGGAGGACAATATTGTGTTGCTGGTTGGCCCAACGGAAAAAGTTGTACAAACAGTCAACACACAGAGGGTGTCTCAGTACATCGTTTCCCCATGAATGACAAGGAGAGGCTGAGTAAATGGACAAAATTTGTTAGGAGACATAGGCCAAAATTCGTTCCTCAGCAGTACTCTGTGCTATGTTCAATGCATTTCGCAGATTCTGCATTCACCGTGAACGCAACAGTTGCAAAATCGCTAAACATGAGACGACAATTGCGCTCTGATGCTGTTCCAACCATAGACTCTGTAAAGGCATTTCAATCCAAGGTGATAAGAGCAATCGCGACCGCAGAGTTGTAAGTACAAAATTATACAAGTTAAATTACACAAGTTTGTATGCACAACCTGGAAATGCATGTAAATGTGTCTTATTATCTTCAACAGGTGTTGCGTGAAGTAACACGAAGTGTAAAAGATGTTGAACCCGCTGTTAAACATACTGATGATGAAGGGAAATCTGACGAGTGTAACACGACAGAAAGCGTTGATAGTGAACCAGTTAGAGAGGATTCACCAGAACCGCTGCCTAAACAAGAGCAAGTTGAAATGTGCAGTGGATGCGACATACTTGCCAAAAAAGTTACAAAACTACAAAAGAAACTCAGTTGGTTAAAAAAATTAAAAAAAGGCTGAGCGACAGTTTAATCATGGTACGTATTTACTTCTTGAAATAGGTGGTAAATAAATGTATTGAGAATAAGGTGCTTTGTATAAAAAATTATTTTTTTTTGAAATAACAGGTTCTTTACGAAATAGTCAGAACTTGACCCGTTGGTGTAAATACATTTTATACAACGTCTGTCGTCGACCATTGGAAATTTACGCGATGTCCAGGATATTATTGGTGATCCTGACATTACAGATATGGATTGGAAATATGAAGACAAACCGTTTTCATCACAAGATGAAGCTGAAGATTCCCAGTCGAAAAACACTGTTAGGTGAGTTACAGCGTAAATGTCGTAGAAAACGAAGTTCAACTTGTATGAATGTGTGTTTAATTCTGTTTAGCATGGAACCTGGTACCCTGTAATGTGACGAGCCCAAATTCATTGTCTTTTATGGCATGCTTATATCACTGTTCAGCCTGTTTTGCTTCAATTGCAAAAGTCCAAATCCTCAGGTGGAATTCAAAAAGAAAGGTTCAATGGCTGTTGTAACTCAATGTTGTTCTATTTGTGGACCAACTAAAAATTTTCAATGGAACAATCAGCCATATGTATTGGGAAGGCACGGGGCTGGAAATCTCATGACAAGTTTTGCCATTCTGATGTCAGGTGTCAGCATAAGTAAAGTGTTTTTACTATTCAAGCATTTGGGCCTTTGTTCAATCACCAGCAGAGCATATTATTTACATCAAAACAAGTTCCTGGTCCCCTCAGTGTTATTGCACTGGGAGAAGTATCAAAAAGCCCTGATTGAAAATGTGAAAAATATAGAAAATGCTACTTGGTCTGGTGATGGCAGATTTGATTCGATGGGCCACAGTGCTAAGTACTGTTCTTACTCCATGTTTTGTAACAGTATTTCCAAAATAGTTCATTTTGACATCAGACATGTAGTCATAAAATTTTTTTCAACTAATAAACAAAATTTTTCATGTACATTTAAGATAATCAGTTCATTTTACTTGAATAAGACCTCAAAAATAATATTATAGTTTTTACATAAACTTCATTACCTTTCGTATAGTCAAATCAGTGTGGTAGTAGCAATGCCATGGAGTTAGATGGAGCTCAAAGATGCTTCAAGTTTCTTCAAGATAGTGGACTACAAATTTCAATATTTATTAGCGATCGTCACAAAGGGATCGCAAAGTGGATTCGAACATCTGACAAGGAAACCCAGCACTTCAATAATTTGTGGCATGTTTGCAAAGGACTTTCCAAAACAATGTTAAAGGCTAGTAAAGAAAAAGGCTGTGAGTTGCTGGTGTTTTGGATTAAAGGTATCCGCAACCACTTATATTGGTCGGCTATGTCTACTAAGATGGGATATGGAGATATGATTGTGGCGAAATGGAAATCCATAGCTAGGCACATTACAAACAAGCATGAAAACCATCCAGATGAGTTGTTTCCTAAATGTGCTCATGGAGAGCTAGATGAACGTCTATGCCTTCAAGTTGGTATGAGCATGCACACATTTAGGCAGCAAGACAGAATTGACATTGTTAAAATGTCTAAAATGTTATTTACCACTTTTAAGATGGGATTGTATTTTTTTTAAGAAACTAAATCATATCAGCGACTTTCCTCAATTCTGTAGAAAAAATCTGTTCTCAAAGATGTAAAAAAACTATCTTCAAAAGCACAAACTAGTTGTCTCGAAGGTTTTCATTCAACATTAAATGGTTGGCATCCAAAGATGACCCACTTTTCTTGGCTTGGTACATATTGCAGGTAACTTGTAATCACTGTTCTCTAGCTGCCAAGGCTTTTTTACTTGTCAAGAAAAAAAATTACATAGTAAATGGTTTGTTCTGTTTAGGCACGTACTGGCAGTACTTCATTTCAATGAAAACCTTCACAGACAGCCAGAAAAAACAAAAAATGGAACACCATATTATTCTGTGACATACCCAAAATTTAAATCAGGGGATGAAGTAGTAAGAACTGTTCCTTCAGCAACATCATATTGTAAGTTTAGCATGTATGCATTGGTACTCTTGACTTACACATCTAACCACTTGTCATTTTTCCAGACTATGTTAATGAAATCAAAAATGTCATGGTTCTTAGTTGTGAGGAATCCATGGACAACATATTTAAGAAGTATAAGGAAAAGTCTTAGAAGCATTAAACAAAACTTTCTCGGATCGAATTTCCAAAACTGAGGCAATCCAACGGCATTTGGATAGGAAACAACTTTCTTCAACACCATTGTTTGCCACATGTAAGTTGTTCATGCTACCATGTATAATAGGTATGGCCAGTGCATTCTAAAAGTAAACACATTAAATTGTTATTTATAGATCAACAGCAAGATGTACTGCAAGCAAAAGATTTCGACAAAGAAAAACAAGCTGCTTCAACAGGTCCTTCAGATCCAAAAAAACGCACTTATGCAAAAATTGTGGACAGCCAATGAAAGGACATCCAAAAAGTCATTGTCCACAAGAATTACTTGACAAATATTCTTAGCAGGCCAACTTTAAAGTTAGTTATAAAATAATATACTATGCTACAAAAAATGTTTCCTACTTGTATCAGTTTCTTTCCTGTGCTGACTTGTAGCCAGCATGTTCTTGGCCTAGGGGATTTTGTAATGGAAATCGTTTTCGGATGTCTGTGTAGATACATGCAGGTAATGGTCTAGAATTTTCCCAACCAAGGCATCCACACAGCCATCGAATGACCCAACGGTATGCAACTGCTCTCAAGTATCTATGAGAAATTCAAAATAGTAATTTCTATTTGATTATTTATTATGACTTCACACAACAAAATTGTGAAGCATCACAGCATAATAATGAACCACATAAAGGTAAAAAGTAGAGATACATGGCAAGATAATAATCATTTGTTACAAAACAAAATTAGAAATCAAAAATGTACTAACTCATTTTCATGTATTCTACGACGCTTGTATGACCTTTCATCTTGGTCTCTTAGGAGTGAGCCAACATTCTTCAAGACTGTAGCATGTGTCATAATCGTGTACTCTTCGTGAAGAGTAACACAGCTAATTTTTTAAATGCTACCATCAAATACCAGTTTATGTAAAGTAGGCCCAACCTCTTGACAACAACGGTATTCAATGTAATCTGTCAGCAGTTGAGTACGACACAAGCTACATGCACACCTATAAAAAAGTGGTTTGTTATCATATTTATGCACCACGACATAAGGACAAAATAACATGTTTAATTCATGGTTTAATTTCTTCTAGAGTTCTAATAACATTTATCAACTTACTCACTTATCTAAGTGAACCTCGCTTCCAATGTTCGAGGTTCTAAGCCATCTGCGTCTTCTTCGACCGACACAAAATTCTCTCCGACTGCGTTCGCAAGAGGTTCATTTTCGTAAGGATTTACAACTGAATTAGCCACAATTGTATCCTCATCGCCGGAATTCGAAAGTAAATTTTTATTTGCCATAACTGAGTTTTCAGTATCCGAACTGCGTTCGCTTTCACTGCTTGAAGAACTCATATTTTATTGTGTCTATGTGTTAAAAATCTAACAAAATACTAGTAAATCAATGCTCATACTTCGACTTCCGTCCTTTTAATTACGTCACATCCGTATAATATTTTTAGTAGTAAAAATTCGCACGCGTAACCCAACTTTGAGCAAAAATTTATTGATGATCCCGTGCTTCAATATACATAAAAATTATACCAAAGTGATCAGGAAAGATAGAACTATTTGATTATGGAAAAAAATCAATACCCAAAATTTCACTTCAGTAGCACTTTATAGTCCGGAGTATAAGACCTAGCATTGTTCAAATTCATGAAGAAAGTCTCAAATTCACTATTTTGCATTGGTTTATCAATGAAATTAAAATAGAGGTGAGACCCCAGCAAAATACCTTTTTGTTTCCGAGAAAATTATCAATAAATTTTGCCATATATTTTAATAGGAAAGGCACAGGGATCCCATTTCAAATAAAAAGAAAATCGACAAAACAATTTAGTTCTCATCGTATTTATATCCTCTTGGAAGTAAGTATTATTAAGCGATATATAATTCGTATAAATTGTCATTTATACCAGTAAATTTCACATACTTTCAATAAAAATGAGAAGAATATTTGGGATTTCTTGATTTATTGGTGTTATTAAATTTTACAAGAGCATGAAAATGTTTAATAATGATATTGTATCACCTGTCGTCTTCACTGCAGTGTATTCTTTTGATTCATTTTCGGGATTATTTAGGGAATATTACTTACTTATTAATCTTGGTAACAGCTACCACCACATTTGCACAATGCTGTGCATGGAAGATGGACTTGGTACATTTGCACAAGCCCCTACATGCTTTCTTGCAACCACAGTGCACCAGTTCGTTGCACGCTTTGGAAGCCTCTGGAAGAGTGCTCCATGTAGGAATCCATCTGCCATTATTTTGCCATCCCCACTGCGAAGGAAGCGGTAACTGTTGAACTGAAACTAACGACTGACCCCAAACATGACCAGCCTGATATGTTGCCCTCCGAATGTGCTGTACCAAGGAGGCTTGGGTTGGTGGAATGTGGTCGATTGTCTTAGTACCTTGTGCAAATATAGCTTGTCTAGCATCATTGATGTTGGAGAGCGGGCATGTGCGGGAATACATAATAATGATAAATCTTTCAATTTTTCCATTTCTTCTTCTGAGATGGATTCTTTTGGAGATGAAAGAAGCTGAAACACACTGGTAACATCAGGAAAAGACTTCCAGGCTTGAAATGCAGTCTTTTTACCTTTTCCAGCAAAGAACGACACAGTATCACAACCAGTGACAGCATGAAAGAAGGGTAGGGCTTCACATTGCTCCCTACTCAACGAGCTTTGTGTAATGTTATGAATTGGTAAGTACCTCATGTGTTTACCAACACCAAAAGCAATCCAAAGTTCATCTACATCTAACTTGTGCACGTTTGCTATTGCTAACACAACAACATCTGTGTCTACAGTTCTTATGACAATTTTCCTCATTCCACCTTTCGCTGCATGGTTTGCATGAATGAAAATGCGCGTATCGGCCTCCTCGTGATTGCAGGAGCTAACTCATCTTTTCGATTGGCTTCGAACTTATTATGTCTTCCTCAAAAGTGCTTACAATTGTAACATTTGGCAGTTGAATCGATGTTGCTGCCTGACTGAGGTACTTGAAAAGTTCTTGTTTGTTGTCATCTGATCTTAAAATGATTTCCAGTTTGCAGGGATCACAGCCATGTCACATACTCTTCTTCTTGCCCTACAGCGCCTCGCGATGAACGAGTACCCTGCTTAAGGCTGTCGGGTATATAACGGTCCCAAACAAGATCTATTCTTCTAATACCATTTGCTTGTTGAACAATATAAGGAACAAACACTGATTTGGAGTATTCTTGAAAGGTCTTACACTTCCCTGGGCTAAGCATGTTTACAATAGCTGCGGCATCCAAGATTTTGACATCAACATTTGGACAGGTGGTCTGCACATCAGCTTCGAGACAATCAATCAATTCTGATTTCTGGCCACTTCGCATCTTGTCCCCTGATGATAATGAAGGAGGAGTACTCTGGTTTTCATGCTTAAAAATTCTTGGAGATTCTCTTGACTGACAAGCAATGTACAACCTTGCAAAAAGATTGCAGTCATTCTTTAATGTTGTGACTTGAAGTTTCGTCTTGTTGGTTGTCGTTGGTACTGATGTTCCAAAAAGTGGAAGCTTATTGCGTTCAATTGTGTCAGTTATTGGTGTGTTACACTTTTCAAGTCTCTCTTCGACGTACTTAGTGTATTGTGCTTCTCCGATCTTTCGAGCTGTATAAATCGACTCTATAACACACTCAGGCTCTATTTCTTTCGTATCTACGACAATCAGATCCTTGCTATTTTCCATAAAGGGTTTCCAAACTCCTTTAATGCAGCAGACATTGATTTTACATCTTTTGCAAAGTTCTTTTGGACAGATGGTGTCTGTTCGTGGTGAGTAATGTTCTTTGTAGAACACTGAACGCCAAAGGAACACTCAAACTCTCTTACCAGTCTTGCAATTTCAGGTCCTGCGATCATCCAACGTCTTAGGGCCGTTGGGCACTCGGTGAGGCCCACTGCTCCACCATCACCTTTTATCATTTCGTTCTCTTGCTCGTGGTTTTGGTCAAGGGACATCATAGAAAAACGATGTTGGGACTTCTGAACCACAAATTTTCCATGTGCACTAAACTCTGTAAAAAGAGTAGGATGCGTTTTCTCTAATCGTAAGAGATCTCTCACATGTACTGGCAACCATCTAGAGTAGTTAGACAAGTTCATCGCAAAAAACCAAGGAAGTACCTTTCCAAGCACTTGTAAGTAGACTTGGAAGTTACCCTCTCTGGTAGCCTTAACAAACTGCAGTAGAAGAATTTCGAGGTCTAATACTGTCGCCCAGTATTTGAATTGCGGGCAAAGCTCACTTTGTTCTTTTATCCAAGCTTCATAACTTTTGGGGCTTGTCTTCACAACTTTCGATGTACTCCTGGTAAGCAATTTTCTGCATAAGGTAAATTGCACAGGCACTTACTTGGTGGACATAGCGAGATCTCGTCACGTGCGATCCTTTCAAAACAGAATCCGCTCTTCCACTTGTCATAACCTCAGCATGAATTAGAGCACTTCAAAGTAAAATATATGTTAGTTATTAGATTGAGATTATAAAACAACAAATCTACACCATACCTTGCCCACCCACTGTTAGTTAACCAATGTCCAATCATCTTTAATATTGCCATCTCAATATGCAGGCCACCCATCATTACCATGTACTTATCTTCACCGAATTCATTTTGTTGTTCCACTGTATTTGCTTAGCGAGTGCATAGAGTGGTTGGTCCATCGCTATAACAGGAGTTTGATTAGGGTTTAAGAACTTAGTAGATTCTTTGACGGTTTTCATTGCATGCTTTATCATAGCCATAGTATGAGCATTGTCTTCAAAAGTGGCAATAAAGAGGTGATTGCATTGGGCCTCAAAACTACGTTTTGCTCAGATGCAAAGTAAGCTGACCATGATAAGTAATCCTTTTCTTCAAGCTTTTCTTTGAGTAAAAGTTCGTCGACCCTTTTTAGCCATTTCTCCTCTTCCTTGATGCTTTTATTTATCAGGTCTTGTTTAGGTTTAAAAGAGCCAGTGACTTTGGGACAAAGAGATCCTTTTACCTTCATCTGTGACAGGAGTTACAGTTGTATAGAATTCAGGTAAACTGTTGACGACCTTTGACTTTGTGGGAGTGTTATCCTGTGGCACTTGTTCTCGTTCTTCTCCTTGTGAGTCAAGAGAAGGATGTTGTGTAAGGGAAATTGCTGTTCCATGAAATGAATTTTTAGCGGTTCTTGAGGACGGATTGTGATCGATATTGTCAACTTGGCCTGTAGTAAAGATATTCTTTCTTAATTTTGGAGGACATACAACACCCTCCTTCTCATACAGTTTGCAACACTTGTTTCCCAGATCTGCAGATATCTGCATTAGTCTGTCATAAGAAATGCAAAGACCTAGCTTATAAAACTTGTCGACCAATGTTTTTTCTTGTTTCTGCATGGACAACGAGCGCCGTGGAAGTGGTTAATGGTGTCTCTCTTGACTTGTCATGTCGAATGGCATTGCTAGCACCTGATCGTACATGCTTTACTGAATTAAATATTAGCAGTTGGGAAATCGTTAAAGCGGCACTGGCTCCTGACACCTCTTGTTTCTTTTGATTATTTATATTTGGACCCTCTAAAATCATATTTATCAGGGCAAGTAAACTATCGGGGACTGCTTGTTGTTGGCATTCTGGTGTAAACGTGCCTTCAAAGGGTTCCCTTTTCAAGAACATTTTTTTTCGTACTATACTAGCAGCTTTTGCAAGGTACAATGCAGCGGTGTCTAGGTTCCTATTGTGTACAAAAGCCATAGCTGTTCCAATATCATTTGGCATTGCCAGCTTCACATCTTTACCATCTTTAAATGCATGCAGCTCTGGTATTTGAGTGAGAAGTCGTTCTTTCAGTCTTGTGGAGTTGATACGTCCTTTCACTTCTACTCCTAATTGTTCAAGTCTTGAACAATAGAGCTCTGACAATTGAGACATCTTGAAAACTGCTTCACCAGCTGCCAGGCTTTCACTAATATATAGGCTTAATTCTGCAAGGGCTATTGCCTCAGGTGTTATTTCATTTTATCATCAACAGCACTATCTTGTGGTTGGTTTAATTTGCTTCTCTGACGGTTATAGAGAGATGTCAAGCATGATTTATGGTAATATGCATCTCTTGCATGCATATCACCTTGTGCTAATTTTGCTAACAGTTTGTAATCTTGAAGCGTCTCGGCCGCTGATTGAACATTATTGGTAATTGACATGGTTTCTGCTTTATGCAAATCACCCTCTGTGCAATCACAGAAAAACATGATAAAGCATTGCTACTCTTACTTGACAATTCAAATGTCTTTCTTCTTGTTTTAGCTGGACTAGTAGCTCCTAATATTGCTGGATCCTCAGTTGAAAATTCCTCTTCACTTTTGCGCTTTTGTGCCCGCTGAAGCTTTAGCGTATTGCATTTATTATAGCACGATTTGTGCCATGATGCTCTGTGATTTCTTAAAGTATTTTCAATGCCTGTTAAAGTATTATTATAAGGCTAAATAAGTACAATTTATGGCTCATAGTTGATCTGTGAGTTTATTTCACTTTTAATTGATTAGGAATTCCTTACCTCTGCCATCATCAAGAGAAGAAAGTGGAATGTTAATAGGTAGCGAATCAAGTTTCTCGAATTCTTTCAAGTTTTCTGCAATTGTCTTGTAACTTGAGCCAGCAAGTAAAGTATTTGAAGCTTTTTCCGGACATAAAATCTTTTCTTTTGTGTCTTTTGACATAAGGCACAAAGGTTCCAGTTTAAAGACATTTTAAAAGCGAAAAATAATCAAAAAAATTATCGAGAAATAGCACTATATCGTCTGGAAATGCCAAATTAACTAGGCGACCAGGCTTTTGCCACAGGGAGCCCAAAATTTATGCAGTTTTCGAAATAACCTTTAAAAGGGTAACTTTCGACAATTAATTAATTTTACCGGAATTTTCATGGTGTTTTGTTGTTTTTATATAAAATACAACATTTTTATTTAACATTTTTATATTTAAAACGGTTTTATAAAAGCCTCATTAAGCCCGCGATTTAAGCCGCTGACCAAACTTTTAATCGGCTCAAAAGTACCCTAAACAAGCTGATCCTGCTGGGGTCTCACTTTTATTTTGATCTATAAATCAAATTAGCAATTTGTGGTAAGTTTCATGCTTTCTTCACATGTTTGAACAATCTGACCAATTTTCGGAGCTTATCCTCCGGACTATTAAACAATGCTTATCACACATCAATTGGCTAGTGTGGAATCAAATCATTCTTGCTTAGCAACTGACTTCTTCAGAACTTATAACTGTATGGGCGTACGGATTTTATTAATTGTGTAGGCTAGAGTTCAAATTTTCATGGTTAGCCAACTAGTGCTCTTTTAAAATCCATTGTTTTGTATGCATCACAACATGCATATTTAAGTACGAGCCCTCCCCCAAAAACTAAAGATCAACCTACACCTATTTTAGTATATTTATAAGCACTACAAATAACGTCAAATGTTTAAAGTAAGCTGGACTAAGGTTGCGCTAGTACTATATCGGATTCGCTCATAACGACATCTTCATTTGCTTTAAAAGGGTAACTGTACGGATTAAAGGCTTATTAAGTTGATAAATTTAGTCTATTTGACTGTGTTTCTGACGTTGAACAAATTCACTGCCTTATTTTACAAAGGAAATTCAACTTGCTACGATAGTAATCCGGTATAATGTAAACGTGGCCTAAGTAATCTATGATAATGCATTATTATAAACATTTTTTGCTATTGATAATATTGCTCAAAGTTATAGTCATCATGTGCATAAACAAAAACAATAAAAATCATATGCCGTATATTTGCTTTACATAATAGTCCATTCTTAAGATGATTTAACTTCCGTGACACAAAATAATATGCCACGTATCGACTCAAAAGATATACATACAGTGCATAATCTGCAAAGAACGTCAATTGCGGAAACCTGAAAACTTAAACCGTCAATCAGTTAAAGGTTTGTGAGACAAAATAAACTGAATCATTATGTGTGTTTACGATGTATAAATCAGTCCATAAATGTAAATTGCTTACGATCTATTAAGCTTTTTATACATTTTGAATTAATTTTAATCTTGCTATAATGCCAAAAGTATGTTTACTATAGATTACCTGAAGAAGTATTGTATAATTGTGCAATATGTGTTATTTCACTAACTTTGTGATATGATTCAATGACATATATGCCTCCCTAATCGAATTTATTTTGAAAGAGTAATTCTACAGCTAATGTTGAACTGTTCAAAAATTTGAGTCATTTTATAAGTATAGAAATATCGACCAGCAAAATAAGCAAATACGTTCATTAGTGATATAAATTTGTATCGCTTGTTACATGTATGGTATATGAATTTGAAGATTTTCGCGATGTAACAAATGTCTCTCGCTTGCGTTGGTTTTCGTGACAAAATCTGCCAAATGTTTTCTTCGTGATTTCATAAAAGTAATGAGTTAATGAGTATGTACGCACTGCAGAAACATAGAGTCCTATTATGGGCATAAAGCATTAAAACTTACATTTTTTGCACAAATCAATCAATTTGCTCCAAATTTAAAATCAAACATATAGAAAACTATAAAAATCATAAGCAATATCTATGCTTTACATAACAATCTATTCTTAAGATGATTCAAATTCCGCGGCACAAAATAATATGCCACGTATCCACTCAAAGGATACATATGACGCTCAACAGTATAAACATGAAAACCGGAAAGTTTTAACCATCAATCAGTGAAAGGCTTGTAAGACAAAATACACAGAATCATTAGGCGTGTTTTAGGTGCTTAGGTACGATGTAATATGATCATTATTAGCTACTGAGTGCTATTATGTTTTTATATGTCTTGTCTATGTTTTCAAACCCTGCTATCATTATGACAGGAGATATCAATGGATTTCGTAGATGCAGCTTAAATTTTAAATCACAAACGAACACAGCAATTTTTCTAACAGCTATGAAAATCGATGTGAATGAATTAGTATACACAGCGTCGTTTCTGGCCCACCTCACACCTTGATACCTAGTATACACAAATCTAAGCGCCTCAGCCCTAGCTCGCGTACGTACTTCTTATAATTATGGTAGCATAATGACAGTGAAGGCCAAGCCCTGGACAACGGCAGGAAACAAACACGGCCGGCCGTCGGGGGACTAATATTTAGAGGGAAATTCTCACATAGAAGATATGTCTTGACACATGGAATATATGTCTTGACACAATATCATGAGGCAGGGAAAGAACAAGTGTGCCTGGTTATTACCCAGAAAGTTCACCACATGTGGGCGAAGCTCCATAGGTGAATACTGTGGACTTTATATGAGGCGGTTAAGGGAAGGTGGGTGACTTCAACAACCATGTTGTAAGTGTTGGTTCGGAACATAAGCTGAAACTATCCTTTGTCAAGCCTGCGGTGCGGATAGGATGCATCATATGTTTGTTTATGCGGAGAAACAAGCAAGAAATAGATTTGCTAGTGTTCTTGCCGAATTAATTTCGACAATTTGAATAAATTTCGATTTAAAGATTTATCTCACGTTTGGTATACCATAGAGGTTTGCAACATTCGAGATGAATAGTGTCAAGAAAGTTCTCCAACTATATGACCAAGGTGTAGTCAGCGTAGACGCGTTGAAGGCCTTCATTAAGGCTCTTCCGCCCGCTGACCCGACACCCACGCCAAGAAATGTCACTCCGCCTACCCCCAAACCGCAAAAAAGGCAGGCCTATCCCAAAACCGCGCAAGCGCAGACCTATCCTTAAACCACGCAAGCGCATACCCGCCGAGCGTACTAATGATAAGATAGACGCACACATCAATGAGCTTCGGGCTGAATTTAATCCACGACGCCCCCAAAAAGGCTCTTCCCCCACCTCCCACGGAACTTAAGTGGGATGAAATGAAGGCCTTCAGCTTTCATAAAAGAGCCTGGAAAATGCAGGTGCCGAAGGGACACCCATCAGAACGCAATTTGACGGCTTTCCTCAAAATCGTACAGCCATACATCAAACGCAAACTTGTCGAGGAGCTATTAGCTCTACGAGGAATTAAGTTCCAGTTGTCTGTAGAGGTTAAGCTTCGGAAGGATGAAGCAAATGGTACTGAAGTGCTTCAAGCACCAGTGTTCCGGACAAAGCAAATCACGCTGCTACAGGCGCATGAGATTTCACATGCCCTACATGAATCCTTCCCAACAATCCTGGAGAGATTGGAAAAGTTCACTTGGGAAGGTCTGGGTGGATAATAGATCGTGTTAAAACACTATGGCTTGCCATCGCTCACTACCTGCCTTTACGTGGAGGCTCCTAAATCACTACACCTAGATCAAAGTCTTCAACCGCCTTCTCAATCGGAGTAGCGACCATCAGCTGCACTTCTGTGAGCGTTGCCTTCACGGCTTCACCAGACAGGAGTTGCTGGAAAAGCATACGCCTGAATGTCGAGGCATCAACCAGGCCGCGGTTGCCATCAGAATGCTAATCCCCGGAAAAAAACGACAAAATCCGCTTTGAGAACTACCACATTCAGCTCAAAGGGCCCTTCATAATCTACGCCGACTTCGGCAGCCTGGTTTGTATGACCGAGGCCCCGCGCTTAACCCTGAAAAGAAAGGCACCCAGCAAACCTCCAGACACGAGGCATGCCGCTACTCATTCACAGTCGTTCGTTCAGACAGGGCCAAGCATTTCCTGGAAGCGCTCAAAGAAGAAGAGCTTAAGGTCAAGACGGTGTTGGCTAACCCCCAGCTTATGCACATGACAGGAAAGGACTGGGGAAGCCAAAAGAAAGCCACAAACTGACACGTCTGTGGCAAGCCCCTCGAAGGCGATTCCGTTCGAGACCACTGCCACATTACGGGCAAGTACCGAGGTGCGGCCCACAATAAGTGCAACATGAAGTTGCGGCTCAGCCAGAAGAGGACAATCATACCGGTTGTCTTTCACAACCTGCGGGGCTACGACAGCCACCTCATCATGCAGACTATTGCAGAGACTGAAGGGAAGGTTAGTTGCGTCCCCATCAACACCGAGAAGCACATCTCGTTCAGTATTGGCCAGCTTCGATTTATCTACAGCGCCCAGTTCATGCTCTCAAGCCTGGATGGCCTGGTGAAGGCCATCGACCCGCGAGACATGCGCATCGCAGCAGACTACGAGCCGAACCCCCAGAGGCGTACCCTCTTGCTCCGGAAGGGGATCTACCCCTACGAGTACATGGACGGCGTGCCCCAATTCGACGAGGAGGCCCTCCCGCCGAAGGAGTCTTTCTACAGCAAGCTCTCCGGCGAAGGCATCACCGACGTGACTACGCCCACAGAAAAAGGGTCTGGGAAGCTTTCGGCTGCACAAGTCTCGGCGACTACCACGACCTCTACCTTCGGACCGATGTCCTACTCCTCGCCGATGTCTTTGAGAACTTCCGAAAGCTGTGCCTCGAGCGAAACAGGCTAGACCTGGCCCAAAATTACACGAGCCTGGGATTAAGCTGGGGCGCTCTCCTCAAGTACACAAGCGTAGAGCTCGAACTGCTCACCGATATCGAATTGCATCTCTTCATTGAGAAGGGCCTGCGCGGCGGCATCAGCATGGCCAGCAGGCGTTTTGCCAAGGCCAACAACCCCAAGGTGCAAGATTACGATCCGGGGAAGCCCCAAAGCTGGATCCAGTACTACGACGCCGATTTCCGGAAAAAACACCGATCTCCGGAAGAAGACAAAGAGTGACTTTGAAGTTAATCTCTACAAGCTGCTGAACAACAGCGTCTTTAGCAAGACGATTAATAATAACCTCCGAAAGCGTGTCGATGTGAAGCTTCTCCGGCCAAGCGAGGACGAGAGATTCCGCAAACTTATCGCCAAGCCGATATTCAATCGGCATCTCATCTTTGGCGATGCAAGAGACCTTGCAGCCGTTCACAGGAATAAAAGCAGTCTGCTGCAAACCAGCCGTTCTTCGTGGGCATGTGCCTTTTCGACCTCCCGAAGCATCTGATGTACGACTGGTAATACAACCTTCTCCAGGCGCAGTACGGCTCGTCAGCAGAGCTCCTCTACACCGACACCAACAGCCTTGTGCTGGAGATCCAGACAAAGGATGTGTACGCCGTCATGAGACGCAACGCTGGACAGTACGACACCAGCAACTTTCCCAAAGACCATCCGCTGCTCAGCAGAGCCAACAAGATGGTGCTGGGGAAAATGAAGGACGAGTGCGCATTTGCAGGCATCACATCTTTGGCGAGCACGTCAACAAGACATCGTTGAGCTTGCTAGACACGAAGCACTAGATATCGGCCGATGGGTTCTCTATCTTACCATACTGGCATAGGGAAGCCGGTGTGCAGGTGAATAAATAATAAATGCGTTATCATGCTGTGATAATTACAGTCGAAGAGCTGCTCCACGACTAAGTGCAAGATAGTACTTGGTAGTAAAGGTTTCATAAAAGCGTGAACGGACCCCATCGACTAAGCAGGCGGTGTTTCTGTCCCAAATGGCACCACGTGTAGCTCCTCGCTCACAAACGCACGATTGGGCCCATCGCTCAATTAATACAACACGAGCTTTCCGCCCTCAACTACAGCCCACTCGATCTGGTGGGAAGTCACACTCCAGATAGGATCGGTCATCCTACGCCGTTCGCCACCCTCGAGTTTGCCAGGCGCATACGAATACCGCACCATAACATCCGAAAGAAAGCGTTGCTCTTTGAAACCAACTGGACGAAGCGCCGGCGCAGTGGGTTTGGCTTTAACGCTCTTCTTCCAAATCGCAAGGGAGGGCTTTTCGCCCATCAAACAGGTAATTTCATTATTGAGTGTTTTAACCACCTCAGGTAATCTTGATACCCATTCTTTGTTCCGAGTTCCGTGCTCAGCCAGCTCGCGATAATACTGGTAACAGAACAATCACTCCGCCAAAGTTCGGTTGAATCTTTCTACGATCCCCTGATCTC